CGCTAAACTTGCTCTAAACTTGCTCCAAATTTTCTGCTTTAATGAGTAGTCCTGACTTTTCTTGCATACCTGGGACATAATTGGATGAATGTTTCTGAAGCATTTGAAAAGGATTAAGTTACATGGTTACTTAGGGATACCATAAGCATATCCTTTTATTTCAAATCTCATAAAAATGCTAAGTCAAAACACACTGCAAATTGGGAATTTTGATTTAAAGGTTTACCTCCAAGTACCAGGCTATAGACTATTCCTTCTCAGTGGGAGCTCTTCTCTAATTGATTTCAGAAATTAATTTCAGAAAGAGAATATTCCCAATAGGGAAAATGTAAATAGACTGGGCAGATGAGTAAGGACAGTGTGTCTCCTCAACATGAAAGCATGAGAATCAAAGGGTGAAAAAGCATTCCTTAGACTTGCTTGGGTCCTTGAAGGCAGCATACAGGGGATAGGGATGTACAGAAATATAAAGTCGGGGGAGAGAATATACCGGTATGTGTACAACAGTAATGGCAGTGAGAAAGAGACATGCAGCCTCTGGCATCTGGGACCTGGCCTGGCACTATCAATCTGGCCTTGGTATTTTCTTGTTGAACATAAACAATTTCACAGAACATCAACATGAGAAAAGGTCATTCCATGACCGTGATAAATCAAGGCAAAAACAAAACCACTCCAATTAGCATGTTTGAATGCAGTCAAAATATGAACAGTGTCCAAACTCCCAAAATGACCAACATCTGCCATCTGGGCTAACATGAGTGACTGTTGCTTCTTTATTAATTAATAGTGGCCTGGTGCACAAAATTTGTGCCTGGTGGGGTTCCCCTCAGCCTAGCCAGCACCCTCTCCAAACAGGGACATCTCTCTCACAATCTGGGACTACTGGCTCCTAACTGCTCACCTGCCTGCCTGCATGATCACCCCTAACCACTCTGCCTGCCTTCCTGATTGCCCCTAACCCCTCTGCCTGCCTGCCTGATTGCCCCAAGCTACCTCTGTCTACTTGCCTGATTGTCCCTAACTGCCCTCTCCTGCGGGCCTCATTTCACCTTCAACTGTCCTCCCCGACTGGCCTGATTGCCCCTAACACCCTGCTGGCCTAATCTTGTCCCCAACTACCCTACCCTGCTGGCCTGATCATTCCTAACATCCTCTGCCTTGGCCCCCATAACCATGGCTTTGTCCAGAAGGAAGTTGGACATCTGGAAGATGGCTGGTCAACCAGGTCTAATTAGCATAGTAGCTTTTTATTAGTATAGATAGATTATATAGGATAGAATTGTTTAAATGGGGGGAGAGCCTTTGTCAGCAGGAGGAGATGTTCTTGGCAGACAAAAATACATAATCCCTATATCTGGATTGATAGCTGGCCATATGCACTATACTGCCAAACTGGTAATTAAAAAATTGAACCACTTTCTTACAACAGCACCATAGCTGTTGCTCTTAAAACCCCTCCTCAGTCCCCATGTTAGATTCTGCCTTCACAGTTCACCCAGATTAGGTTCTGATTGATTGGTGTCTATGCCAGTCAGTGTCAAAAGCTCTGCCTCCTTGGCAGTCATTGGCTCCTCACAGTTCACCCAGTTTTGGTTCTGATTGGTTGATTTCTATGTGAGTCAGTGTCTCCAAGTTTTTCTCTGGACCCGATCAGAGAGGCAGGGCTGATCAGCAGCTGCCCCAGGCTGCTGGCTAATGGGCTGACCTGCTGACCTCTCAGAGAAAGAGAGGGATGCTTGGCTGCTGGTGAGGCCTGGAGAGAGAGAGCCCCACCTTTGTCTCTCTCTGACAGGTCAGCAGTTCAGCCTGCTCACCAGTCCCTACCCACCTGAGCCTGGTGTTTGGTTATCTCTTTGGTCATTTTGGACATTACAGACCCTAGTTCTTTATATATATAGATAGCTTTAGCTTAGGGTTAGTCTTCATACTTAAAAGTAAGATTTATTTAGAAATTTGATCAGTGAATTATCCTTACTTCCTGTCAGCATCTAAGTCTAGAACAAAGCCATCTAGAGTGACCAACTCAGCCTGGTTTTCCCAAGGATTTCCTGGTTTTAACACCTAAAGTACTCAGTCTTGAGCAAAATTGGGATGGCTGTTCAAATGCCTGCTTCCTTAAACTCTCCCACAAATCATGGAAAGCAAGATCAAATTCTGTAAGTCATTTCTATCACCCTTTTATTGAGACACTTCATAGTTTCCTTTCTTATGCATTCACCCTTTGTTGCAATAAATAATAAACTCAACATTTTTAAGAACAGGTCTTTTCCTAGTGGTCTTTCATTGAAGGGAATTGCCATCAGTAAGAAGCAAAAAGGCACATTGTGGAAAAGCTAATAAGGCCTAGCTAGCATAGAAAAATGGGACTGAAGGAATTAAAAGGTGGGGGAACCAAAGAAACAGGAAAAGGTGGCACAGCCCTCAGGGGCTAATGTGTGGTTTTCTGAAAAGGTGGTTTTTAGGAATGATAAAAATAAGGTGATGGAAGGTGAAGGCATGAGCTTTTGTAGGAGGAGGAGTTATTGCTCCACCCTCTGTGCCTGGACCAAAAGAAACACTAATGAAAAGATAGCAAAAACAAACAAAAATTTGGCTTATGATATAAAATAATGACTCAATCTTTAATGGCCTAGAGCAGTAATTTTCAACCTTTTTCATCTCATGACACATATAAGCTAATTACTAAAATTTTGTGGCATACCAAAAAATAATTATAATTTTAAAAATTTTTATTGTTGAAAGTATTACAGATACCCCTTCTCCCCACCCTCCCCATTGACCCTTTCTAGGCCCTGCCCCCAGCCCCAGGCCTTCACCAAACCAAAATAGGTATAATTTTGATTCATTCACAGTAGATTGTGTTGGTTGTTGTATTTTTTTTATTTGACAATCTAAGGGAAAAGAGGTCAGTGCCCTTGACTAAATAGTCAGGTATTGCATGTTTTAAAAATGCTGGCAGCACACCTGTTGAAAAATTGCTGTCCTAGAGGTTGATCATAATTTTCCACACTTATTTGCCTATGTTTGTCAACTGCATCATATAATAGTTTCTATATAAGGAAAATTTCTGAGAAGGAAGAACTACAATGACACAATGGTGAACAGGTATTATTAGTGCAAAACTCTAACCTTACAATTTTAATTCTTTGAGGTTGAGATCATCCAATGTTAAATATCAATATTCATTAAATAAAATAAAGGCCCCAGAACAGTGCCTGGCATATAGTAAATGGTAATACATATTAACTATTATAATTACTCTGATTATACTATTTTTTTCAATGTGTTCATTTTAAAATGGGCAATTGCATAGTTAAAAAAAAGGTTTTGAATACATATCCTTGATTATGTAGGAGGTATATATTGAATGATAAATGTAACTTCTTTGTTTTTTAAACTCAGGTCAGAGCCATATATTCAAATGACTGTTTACATGCCTCTTGGCAAGATTTACTGTAAGCGACCTTTGGTAAATCTTTTAAATTCAGTTGCTGAGTACCTACATTCCACTAGATCTTGGCCCGTACTGCATGTTGCAAAGCAAGTTTTGAAAACAGTACTACCTTTTAGTTTCATACTTTTTATATTTTAAAAATTTCCAGGGAATGAACAAGTAGAATGTGGTTGTCCATGGAAAAGGAAACCTAGAGTACTCAAAATCTTAGAAGTTGAAACATAAGTAGGTTCCTTAGAACAGGTTTAATTTATAATTTTCATCAGAAAGCTGCCTCATTTATTTCTACAAAATAAAAGTCACATAAAAATGTAAGAACACACAGGGAATATTTATGAAGTGCTCTTAAAAATAAAGTGACTATCTGACTTTTGGCAATATCTAGGATATGTTACAAAATATTTCAAGTAGAGTTTTGTACATTTACAATAACTTTGTACCAGTGTAAGACCACTTCACTTGGTTTTTCAATACCCAAGAAAATAATCAGCTTGTTTTTCAAACAGTAGTACTTAATTATATTATATGTGTACAACCTGGAATGGTCCACCCCTTTTACTAGTTTTAACAGAAATTTGATTTTCTTTTTTATAATTCTGACACCTGTTTAATTTACATTAGTTTTTTTCAGAGGCCAAATTTGGCAGGGAGAACACCAATTATCCTGATACTATGTTTTGTCAGCTCTTACCTTGTTTGATATTATTACAAGTCTGGGGTCAAAAATATCTATACCCACCCACAGTATTAAAAACTTGGGTCAGGAGTCTACTTCTTCAGTGGTTTAAAAATCATTTATTTGGAATGTAGCTTTTTTTTTTTTTTTTTTTTACAAAATAAAAAAATAGTCATTCTCAGAAGCAAATCCCTTTATAAAGTTAATAAATTGGTGATTATATATACTTAAGAAGTCATAAGTAAATATTTGTAAGGGAAACCTTTACTTTAGTTGTGAATTATACAGTTATTCTATTTCTGCCATACCCTTTTCAATGTATAATGTTTCTTATAGAGTAATTTTATATGTATTATTCCCACAATTAGATTTAAGTCTCACTTGTATACAGCAATCAAATTCGCATTTATGTAAACATTTTTCATACTTACAATAAGCTATTGTTTAATCATAATAATGAGTCTATTTTGCAGCTATAGCATACCTAAATACATACAACCCTTTTTGCATGAGAAACTGAACTAAACTGAAAAGTATAAATTAACAAAGATAAAAATATTTAATTTCTTTAAACTTTAGAGGTAAATGCACATATTATTAAAACACAATTATATAATACACACTGAAAAACCTAATAATGCTTAAAAAACGGTGAAAGAAAATAGGTTCCACTTCATGAATTGCTTTTGTCCTTGGACCAAATTAATTACAAATATCGAGTAATAGTTAATTTTAAGTAGTGCCAGGCAAGAAAAATTAAAGTAAAATTGTTTTATACCCTCATTGCTAGATCAAGAGTAATTCTAGATGGAAATACCATTTTAAGATAAACAAAGACATTATCTCTTTTGTGGAACCTATGTATTATTACTTACCGAAATTTGCCATCTGTATCGTCTGGTTGCCAGTCTCTGGAACGTTGTAAATCACAACAGCATCAGCATTTCTTCTGTTTGCTGTTTGAATTTTTTCTGAAAATGTACAATTTCCTCTTTCTATCAGGGCAATCCAAGGCTTCTCGGTACTGGTAAACTCAGTGTTGTAGTCACAAGCTTGGTAGTTATTGTTCTTAGGGATGCCCACCGTCCCCATCGCATTAGCTACTGGTGAGGCTAAGCCATAAACACCACATTCACATGTCTCTGTTGTAGTATAGTTGCTGGTTTCATTGTAATAGTGCACAGTCACATAGGCATTCACTGGAAAGGATACTGTGATTTTAAATAAAAAGGTAAAACTTACAAGCAACCGAAACCAACTGGACTTATTCTCCTGGTTCATTGCTTGTTCATTTGAGCATAAAATTTAAGATGTCTGCTGATATTTCCAACTATCAGTCACCATTTGTTCACGCAGTTCCCCGCTAAGCAGAAGTTTGAAATTTCAGTTGCAAGCAGGTAACTGATCTCACCTCAAGCAACATAAGCTCTGAATACATCAGCTCTATTTCACTTCACTTATCTACATTCTCTTTTGTCTGCCCCTCCTCCAACTGTACATACACGTAACCCTTCACCAAGATTACCTTAGTAATAAATAACACCATCAACTTTATTCTACATGTTATCAGGGTTGGATGACTTCCTGCACTGACATTCCCCACCCCCCTACTGTTCTAGCTAATGCACTTTCATAAACATGGAGTGGATTGGAATGAGGAACTGGACTCTTGGGAATCCCATGTAACAAGTCTGAAAGTCACCTCTCTCAGAATATCTAAAACACCAAACTGGTTTTCCAAGCCCTGCTGAAATATGCTATCAACCAGTTTAGCCAGAAGTAAGTTAAGATACATAATTTTAATTGCTAGGGCATTAGTGGAATTGATTTTACAACCCTTTCCTCTATTTCTTTTTGGAATATTTTTAATAGGCTCCCCAAGGTATATCTTCTGCCACATTGTTTTTTCATTGAAAAGTAAACACATTTTAGTAGCTTTCCTTTCAAGTAAAGTGCCTTATCCATGCTAGGCACTCAAATATTTGTTGATTGACAGATACTTATGAGTTGCTACATTCCATTAATTTTTATGTTCCATGTGTTATACTCTAACAAGCTCATTCAATATTTAATTTTTGACATTTAGAATTTTAAATTCTATTTATTTTAAATGCATAGACATATTTATTTATTTCAGTGCTTCCTTTATTGTAAGCTTTTTATTATTATTTTTTTTAAAACCAGGAGTCATTGGACACTTGCAGCACTTGGACATTGCTATAGGGTCAACTGCTCTTGGCAAGTTGCTGGGGTAGGGATATTTCAATGTGTGCCAAGGGCTGGTGAAGGAGTAGATAAATTAACAAGAAAACAAACAGACATATAGGAAGTCTGATTGGGTCAAAAGTTAGCAAACTAGACAAGTAGGCATTAGGCTATCACAGAAGCAGAAAGACACCAGGTCAAAAGGAGGGCAGGCACAATGGTAGTCTGAAGTCCAAGGAAAGTAGTCTGGAATCAGGAAGAATACTGAAGTCAAGGGGACAGGGGAAAAAATAGGAAAATAGGAGACATTGTTGAAGGAGATGATCAGTGGGGCGATTTCTTCCTCTTGCTTCCTGTCTGTCTGTAGGCATCTGAGAGATTAACTTTGGAGTGGATCCTGCAGTTGGAAACAAAAAGTTAACACTACTCAGCAGCAGTGAGGAGTTCAAGGAATCTACACTTGAACCTAATGAATAAACCCCAACAGAAGCACAATACAAATGTAAACCTTTCTAATATATAGCTGCCAATTATGTATCTGTGTACCTACTCCCCTACGGTACCTGGTATTAGTGGCACTTTAAAAATTAATTTAAAAAATTTTTATTTTATTTTTATTTTTTTTTAAATTGATTTCAGAGAAAGCGGAAGGCAGAAGGCGAGAGATAGAACCATTGATGAGAAACATGGATCAGCTGCCTCCTACATGTCCCTACTGGGCATTGAGTCCCCAACCCTGGCATGTGCCCTTACTGGGAATTGAACTGGCGACCTCTTGGTCCATGGGTCAATGTTTAACCACTGAGCAACAATGGCCAGGCATAGTGGCACTTTGCACATAGTAATCACTCAATAATTATTCATGAACTAGAACTGTAAAGTTTAAAGGTCTTGTGTATTAGCTTATGGTCTATTTAAGAACAAATGTAGTTTATTATCTTGCTATTAGCATTATCATTTTGATGTTAAAACTCATAATATAGCCTGTATACACTAGAAAAACAAACAAACAAACAAAAAACACACAAACACATAAAAACACAAAAACATACAGACAAAAAAAACCTATAAAATGGAAAACAGAAGTGTTATTATTGTGAAAAGCATTAATTTGCTGATTGCTAACAGACATCTGTGATAAATTCAACACCAGCATTCAAAATGCAAATAATTAGCGAAGTCCTAGAAATTTGATTTAACCTTTTTCTACATTACTAAATTGTTTCTAAAAGAGACTTTTTTTCCTCCCTGAAATAGTTTAAAAACAGATTAGTGAGGAGTTAAGTTAAATCCATTAGACTTCATATTTGGTTAAATAATATTAACACACTAGTTTCAAATCTTCATATTAATGGAAACTAAGGAGAAAATAAATAAGTGAAACTACATCAAAAGAAAAAGCTTCTGCATAGCAAAATCAACAAAACAATAAGAAAGCCCACTGCATGGGAGAACATATTTGCCAATGTCATCTCCAATAAAGGTTTTTTTTGTTTGTTTATTTGTTGTTGTTTTTTTTTTAAATCAATCTTTATTGTTCATATTATTACAAAGATTCCTCATTTCTTCCCCCCTCCACCAGGTTCCCACCCCACCCTCCGTCCCCTCCCCATCCCCCATTGTCCTCATCCATAGGTGCACAGTTTATGTTCAGTCTCTTCCTCCCTCCCTTTCCCCAATGGTTAATCCCTTTTCAGATAGTAAATCAGTTACTTAGCATTTTCTCATATCAATAATACCTCCACATGCCCAATGATACACTTCACACAAAAGACTTTTCCAAATAGGTCAACTAGCCTTATCCAGGCGCCACCCAAGGCACTCACAAATCAACACCCCAGCCCTATACTAACTCAACACATCCATATCTAAGCCTTCATCACTTAATTAAGCAGGCCCTCAAGTTCCGGCAAAAGTTTCCAGCCATGTCTGAGAGACAGCCGTGGGGCAGGGGCAGGCGAGGAGCGAGCTATTCCGGGCCTGGCTGCTCCAGACCTGGCCTCTGTTGCTCTGGTTCATTCCACAACCAGATGCTCCGGGTCTGGTCACTGCCGCTCCCGACCTAGTTGCTCTGGACTTGGCTGCTGCTGCTCCGGGCCTGGCCACACCCAACCCGGCTGTTCTGGGCCCGGCTGCTCCGATCCCGGCTGCTCCCAGCCTGGCAGCTGCTGCTCCGGGCCTGGCCTCACCCAACCCGGCTGCTCCGGGCCTGGCCGCTCCCAGCCTGGCAGCCGCTGCTCCGGGCCTGGCCGCTCCCAGCCTGGCAGCCACTGCTCCGGGTATGGCCGCTCCCAGCCTGACAGCCTCTGCTCTGGGCCTGACCACACCCGACCCGGCTGCTCCGGGCCTGGCCGCTCCCAGCCTGGCAGCCGCTGCTCTGGGCCTGGCCGCTCCCAGCCTAGCAGCTGCTGCTCTGGACCTGGCCACGCCAGACCCGGCTGCTCCGGGCCTGGCTGCTCCCAGCCTGGCAGCTGCTGCTCCGGACCTGGCCATGCCAGACCTGGCTGCTCTGAGCCTGGCCGCTCCAAGCCTGGCCGCTCCCAGCCTGGCAGCCGCTGCTCCGGGCCTGGCCGCTCCCAGCTTGGCAGCTGCTGCTCCAGGCCTGGCCGCACCCGACGTGGCTGCTCTGGGCCCGGCTGCTCCGGGCCCGGCCGCTCCAGGCCTGGCCACTCCAAGCCTGGCAGCTGCTGCTCCGGGCCTGGCCGTGCCCGACCCGGCTGCTCCGGGCCTGGCCGCTCCCAGCCTGGCAGCCGCTGCTCCTGGCCTGGCTGCTCCCAGCCTGGCAGCTGCTGCTCCGGGCCTGGCCACACCCGACCCGGCTGCTCTGGGCCCGGCCTATCCGAGCCTGGATGCTCTGGGCTTGGCTACTGCTGTTCTGGGTCTGGCTGCTCCCAACCTGGCTGCTCTGTGCCCAGCTTTTCCGGGCCCGGCCACTCCGGGTCTGGGTGTTTCTGGACTGGCCACCCTGGGCTTGGCCGCCTCCACCTCTGGCCTGGCTGCCACTGCCCCAGGTCTGGCTGCTCCAGGCCTGGTTGTTGATGCTCTGGTTCTGGCTGATGCTGCTCTGGGACCTGGCCGTTGCTGCTCTGGGCCCGGCTGCCACTGCCTTGTGCCTGGCCACTCTCGGCCTGGCCGCTGCTGTTCCAACATTCTGTCCTTTTTAAAAAAAAAAACAAAAAAAACCCGCATTTATGTTGTAATGTTGGCTGCTGAATTGAGTTCTAACTTAGTCTTTGATTTTTCAAGATATCCTTTGTATTCTTTCTTAAGTAATTTTACTATCTTTTGCTCTCACTTGATTTCTTCACATTGAGAACTTCTTTGGTTTCCTCCTCCTTGTCTTGGGAGCTCAGCAGGTTGGCCTGTGGCACCCCTTTCTTCTCTGTGGGCTCCTGCTCTACTTCAGCCTGTTGCCAGGGTCGGCGCCGCCCAGGAAGCAGCCCCCGGCCTTGGCTCCATTGCCCACGCTCAGCGGTCGAAGGCTCAGGGGCATCCCCCCCCGGGGGGCCCCGTCGCTCAGCTCCTTGCTGGTGCCCGGCTGGCCGGTGTCTGGCAGTGGCTCCTGCTCCTCGTTGCGTTCCTCCAGTCTGGAGCTTTTTTTCTCCTTCCCGCTAGGGGAGTCTAGCATCAGAGTCAACAGACTGTCCTCTGCATGCAGTGTGCGCGACTCTGGGAGCTCCGCTTTTCGCCGCTCCCCTGGGATTCCGCCTCACAGCCCCGTCTCCCCCTGCCTGAGCCTGGGTCCCCAGGGTCTGGCCTAGGACTGGGGTTCAGAGCAGTCGAAACTGGGGTCCAACACGGACGGGGCTCCTCTTTCCTTCCCTCCAGAGCAATCAGAGTCAACATTCCTTCCTTTGCAAGCAATGTGCGCGCAACTCCGGGGGCCCTGCTTTTCGCTGCTCCCCTGGGATTCCCCCTCACAGCCCCGTCTCCCCCTGCTGGAGCCTGGGTCCCCAGGGTCTGGCCCATAACTGGGGCTCAGCGCTGCCAGTTCAGGGGTTCAGCCCAGGCTGGGGGTTTTATTTCCTTCCTGCTAGGGAATGCCAGGCAGGCACCCAGCCTTCTCCTCCTCTCCG